ATAAACGGGTCGGCAAGGTAATCTACCGAATCACTCATACGATACCTCTCCACCAAAACTGGTGACTTGGGTCATGATACATCTTTGTACCTCCCGGATGCATTGCAAAGCGCGAATGGTGAAATTCTCGGAGCACTTCCTCTCGGCAAGACTCCGGCGCAAACAAACGGTCTTGGTATCTCATACTCTGGTCGGGATACACATTCAAGCCCCTCTCCACTTTTCCATTGGAGATCTTCTCCGTGAGGAATTCCACCTCAAGGTCAACTGCCGTAAACAAGGCTGCAGATTCAACGGACTCGCCAAGATGTAACTCAAACTCCCCAAGAGTACCCATTATTTCCCACTCCTGGATGGCAATACAAGCCACACTACTAACAGATTTTCTACTTAAGGCATCGGCTATAACATTTGCCTTCCTTGGGTGATAATGCAACTCGAAATCATAATCCTCTATGAACTCCATCCACCTCATCTGCCTCAAATTTAAATCTTTCTATGTAAATAGATATTTCAGACTCTTGTGATTAGAAAATACCTCAAACTTCTCACCATACAGATAGTGTCTCCAAATGTTCAAGGCAAAGATCACCGTCGCTAACTCTAAATCGTGAGTAGGGTAATTCCTTTCATGGGTTTTCAATTACCGTGAGCCGTAGGCTACTACATTCCCCTCTTGCATTAAAACACAACCCAAACCTTCCCGTGAAGCATCATAATAAACTGAATAACCCAAAACCCTCTTCGAAATAATCAAGACTGGAGCAGTGGTAAGTCAAATCTTAAGATCTTGAAATGACTTCTCACAAGTCTCATTCCACATAAACTTGATCCCTTTCGTCGTTAATCTAGTCAATAGTGAGGCTAGCCTAGAGAAATCCTTCACGACCCTACGATAATACTTGGCCAACCCCAAGAAACTATGGATCTCGAAAGCATTTTTAGATTGTGCCCAATCTTGCACTGCCTTTATCTTGGATGAATCTACAGTCACCCCTTCCCCACATGGCCTAAAAACTTAACCTCTTCCAGCCAGAACTCACACTTCCCAAACTTAGTGTATAGTTTATGGACTCTAAGCAACTCAAGCACTACTTGTAAGTGTTCCTCGTGCTCCTCCTTAGAGGGTGAGTAAATCAAAATGTCATCCACAAAGACGACCACAAAATAATCTAGGAACTCACGGAAGATCCGGTTCATTAAATCCATAAATACAGCCGGTGCACTGGTCAACCCAAAAGGCATCACCAGAAATTCATAATGGCCATACCGCATACGGAATGCCGTTTTTCCAGAGAAATGATAAAATGAGCTATATTTCTAAAGTAAATGTGAGTTGTCTTTAGTTTGCATCTAATTGAAATAGGCAATTATATATATTTTCCCTCAACATTTAACTACCCAACATGTAAGCAATACATAACCCAATAGGTATATTGAATGTGTTTTTGATTAGTGGGTCGTCTAATTGAATATTAACGTGGGTGAATAAGGCTAATTTCATCTCACATTTGTAATATGTTGTTATTTCAGGTAAAAAAAATATCAACATCAAATGCATCTATGAGTGATACTAGTGAAATTCAGTTTAAAAATCAAAAATGTCGTTGCGGGGGTAAAGCAACGTTCAAGATTTCAGAGTCAAAGGAAAATCCAGAGATGGTATACTTTGCTTGCCCTTTCAACAACACCAATGGATACGACTTCTTTGAGTGGTGGATGCCTTTAAATAAACAGTGTCAATGGTTGAAGATGTTAAGGAAGAAAAGCGATGAAAATTGTAATATCTAGCCTTTGGTTAACGAACTCATTGTATCCAATGGTGAGCTGAAAGAGATGGTTACAAAGTGTAGAAAAGAAAGTAAACAAATGGTTGTAGAAATTAGAGAACTTCGGGAAAAGTTGCATTACACCATTGTAATAATAGTATTGATTGGATTTGGACTTCTTCTTTTGTTGTTTAAATATTAAGTGTAAATTAAGTTTGGATTTGGACTTCTTCTTTTGTTGTTTACATATTAAGTATAAATTAAGTTGGTTTTGGACTTGGACTGCTCTATTTGTAAATTAAGTTTTGTTGGGATTTATGAACCGACTGAATTATAAGTCTTTTACATGGTTTGGATGCCTATTGGGATTGTCTGAAGTCTGAATATGATACAGAAGTTTGGATTTATATTGGGATTGTCTGGTGCAATTTGACTGCAACTTATATCTGCTTTGTGTTTTTGTGTTTTTTTTTCTCCATAGAATATTTGCCGGCCAACCAGCCAAAATCTGTCCAAGCCAGCTAAAATATCTGCAGGCAGGGCAAAAGACCTGTACGGCTGGCCAAATCATTCTTCAATGCTGGTGCTGTTTTGGCTTAATTCTGATGCTGGGCCTGTTTAAGCTGCATATTGGCCTCCAAGAACATGGTTAGCATCAAGAGAAGATAGATTAAATTGATATGGATAAAACATATTATATTGATCAATTCAATTTATCAAGAACAAAATCAAAACATAATCAAAATAATCATCAAAACACAATATAACTAACAATAACTAAATTACAAACTACAACATTTTTAGCAACATTTCAGCTGTATTATGATTCCAAAACAAGAGAAAAACAACTAAATTGCAAACTACAACTAAACCTTGACCTCAATGATCAAAGAACATAACAATTAAAACACATCCACATGACAGGTTGTCAATATTACATGCATGAATACCGTATCCAAAAAAAAAAAAAAAACTAGATATTGATGTGTGATCCAAATGATCATGCCTACGGCCACACTCACGCCCATGCCCATGCCCATGTAGTACCTAAAAAAAAGAAAAAGAAAAATACAGATGTAGCAACTTGTTTTTAATACATCGGTTAGTTCATACACAGTTATATTGCAATAACAGTACATTTCAAAACAAAATAAAAAACAAAACAAATCAAAACCCTAAAAATAGATTTCAAAAAAATCATGTAAGAATCTTCCAATCTACACATTCAACAACGAGCAAACTTGTATAACTATTAACATTAAAAAAAATTCGAAAATTTTAAATCAAAGCCTAAATATTGGAGATTTTTTAAGGAGTAAAAACTTGTATTTTTCTTGAATAGGCTGCGACAGGGTGTCGGCGGCGGCAAGACGACGGCAGCGGCGAGACGACAAGAGGAATGGAACGTTGTCGTCGTGTCTCTCTTCTTCTTTCTCTCTCACTCTATTTTTGTACATTTGCTACGTGTATACCAGGTAGCTGTGAGGGAATTTTGAAATCTAATTTTATTTTTATTTTTTTTTAATTTATTCACCAAAACGACGTTATTTTGGTGAGATTGAATCTCAGTAGTTGAAAACTGAATAGGACACGTGTTGATCATTCATGAATAACTGTAGGAGATCGGTGTAGAAATTTTTACTTTAGGGGTCTTAACGCCAAAAAAAAAAGCCACCTCAGCAGACACGTGTCTAACAGACAAAGACGTGTTGTCCTCCCGCGACTAAAAAGAAGCGAAAGAGAGACAGAGAGGAAGCTTCATGGAAAGAATCAGAGGAGGGGGGAAACCTAACGTACGCAGGGTGCGTACCCGTAATCTTACGCACATACTTGCAGCAACCGAAGAGAGAAAGTGCTAGAGAGAGAGAGAGATGGGTAATTGGGGTTACCGTATCAACGACAACAACATTGTAGGGTACAATTACATGGTGACACAACCACAGCAACAACAAAGACACAACCACCACAACATCAACAGTATCATGAAGATCATTTTCATTATCATATCAACAAAACCCCCTTTGTTGCTTTGCCTTTCTCATCCTCCACACACTACTCCTAACTCTTCAAACCCACCTCTTTTTCGACCCAAACCACACCATACAAAACGCAACCATATCGTTTCTAATAAAATCAATTTTTTCCATCTACAATCTCTCTGATTCTCTTTCTTTGGCTCTCTTTTTCGTGCTCTTGATGGTGATCTGAGGTTTTAAGTTTTTCGTCAATACCCACAAGGTAAATTCTTCGATTTTGGTCTCTTTTTGCTTGATTTGTGACTTTCTGTTATGTGGGTACGCCGATTTTATTTATGATGGTTGTGTGATTGATGAATTTATTGTTTTAAAAAAAGAAAAAGAAAAATACAGATGTAGCAACTTGTTTTTAATACATCGGTTAGTTCATACACAGTTATATTGCAATAACAGTACATTTCAAAACAAAATAAAAAACAAAACAAATCAAAACCCTAAAAATAGATTTCAAAAAAATCATGTAAGAATCTCCCAATCTACACATTCAACAACGAGCAAACTTGTACTACTATTAACATTAAAAAAAATCCGAAAATTTTAAATCAAAGCCTAAATATTGGAGATTTTTTAAGGAGTAAAAACTTGTATTTTTCTTGAATAGGCTGCGACAGGGCGTCGGCGGCGGCAGGACGACGGGAGCGGCGAGGCGTCAGGAGGAATGGAGCGTCGTCGTCATGTCTCTCTTCTTCTCTCTCTCACTCTATTTTTGTACATCTGCTATGTGTATACCAGGCAGCTGCAAGGGAATTTTGAAATCAAATTTTTTTTTTTTTTTTTAATTTACTCATCAAAACGACGTTATTTTGGTAAGATTAAGGGGTTGTTTGGGATGATCTAAATAAGTGCACTTTTTGACTTTTTATGAAATATGGGTTGGATTTGAAGTGATGTGTTAGAGAGGTGATGTGACTTAAATAAGATGATGTGACTTAAATAGAATAGTGACTTTTTGACTTTTTTTCTTTTTCAAGACATGTCAAACTTGACCTGAATCTGAGGCTTTGAAAACTGAATAGGACGCGTGTTGATCATTCATGAATAACTGTAGGAGATCGGTTTAGAAATTTTTACTTTAGGGGTCTTAACGCCCCCCAAAAAAAAAAGCCACCTCGGCAGACACGTGTCTAACAGACAAAGACGTGTTGTCCTCCCGCGACTAAGAAGAAGCGAAAGAGAGACAGAGAGGAAGCTTCATGGAAAGAATCAGAGGAGGGGGGAAACCTAACGTACGCAGGGTGCGTACCCGCAATCATACGCACATACTTGCAGCAACCGAAGAGAGAAAGTGCTAGAGAGAGAGAGATGGGTAATTGGGGTTACCGTATCAACGACAACAACATTGTAGGGTACAATTACATGGTGACACAACCACAGCAACAACAAAGACACAACCACCACAACATCAACAGTATCATGAAGATCATTTTCATTATCATATCAACAAAACCCCCTTTGTTGCTTTGCCTTTCTCATCCTCCACACACTACTCCTAACTCTTCAAACCCACCTCTTTTTCGACCCAAACCACACCATACAAAACGCAACCATATCGTTTCTAATAAAATCAATTTTTTCCATCTACAATCTCTCTGATTCTCTTTCTTTGGCTCTCTTTTTCGTGCTCTTGATGGTGATCTGAGGTTTTAAGTTTTTCGTCAATACCCACAAGGTAAATTCTTCGATTTTGGTCTCTTTTTGCTTGATTTGTGACTTTCTGTTATGTGGGTACGCCGATTTTATTTATGATGGTTGTGTGATTGATGAATTTATTGTTTTGTATTGATTTTTTTCCGAATTTTGTTTGTTTTGGGGATGATTTTATAGTGATCTAACTGCTTCTTGATTTTTTTTGGTTTCTCTTTACTCCTTTGGTTTGGATCTGTTGTTCTCTTGGATTGATTAACATGGTGTTTTGTGTTTCTATTATCTAGTTCATATTGAATCTTCAATTTTTATTTTTTCTTGTTTTTGTTTTTTTTGTTTGTGTGTGTGATTCATCTCTGATAAACTAATTCTTTTAATTATGATATTTGGGTTCCATTTTCAAATGGGATTTTGGTGTTCCTTTCTGATTTCTGTGTATTTTCTTGTATATCACTTGTTGGTTGTTGTTTTTATGCTTTCCAATATCATTGGAATTAACCTTTGTTTATTCTTTCCTCTATTTTTATAAAGAATATATGCATAGTTTCTTCTTTAAAAAAAATTCTCATGGTCAAAACTGAGTAATGTTAAGTGGTTCTCTCCCCATATATTTGTCAGAATGCTGAATCTGATTTGCTTGTCATTTCTTGGTTCATTGCTTTGTTTTACAATGCTTGTATAAATTGTTTGAGGCTTTTGAGTATTAATGTGTGATTCCATTAATATAGTTACTTACCGCGTCGTTTATTTAATTTTTAATTTTTTTTTTTATTTTTAACTTCATTTACCCATCAACTCTATGAATAGATAGCCTTACCAGGCTTGTGGCTCAACCTTTTCAGCCACTATGGAAAGTTTGGGAGGATTTGGGTTCAGTGAAATGGGCAGAACTGTGAGGAAGAAGAGGAGCAATTCATCACGACGTCCTCGGAATGATTCTCAGCCTTTGCCAGATTATCGTGATAATTCATCGTTGTCATCTACGTCACCGTCAGATGATGTCAGTAGAATATCAAGTGATGACAATGATGGTCATGGTACAAATTATTGGAAAAAAGAACTTAATTTGAACCAATGCAGCTCAAAGGCTTCAGCCACTAATCTTGTTGAAGGGGAAACAACCTTGAAGATCAGCAATGAAGATGCAGGATGTAGAGAATCCGATGGAGCTCACATCAAGAGCAATAGTGAATGGGAACATAGTGGGATTGATTCCAAAAGGCGTAGTGAAGGTGTCCTTGCTCCAGCTAACTGGAAAAGTGTGAGCAAGGTGAAAGGTCTTGAATTGCAATCTAGAACTATAGATGCCCAAATAAGCAGGAGGATAAGTGATACTTACACTTCTGGTCCTTCTGGGCAATCAGAAGTGGCTTCAGATGGCGCGGCAAGTGACAATAAAGTAAAAAAAGTAAAGCTTAAGGTTGGTGGTGTCACGCGCACAATACATACCAAGTCCATGTCGGTTGGTGCTTCTTTGGGTGGATCTTCTTCTATGAAATATTCTCATTCTTCTGATGCCTCTCGTCCACGGAAGAAGCTGATTCTTCAGGTAATTAATTCCTGTGTGGATTTTTTTGTTTTATCTATACTGTGGTAGCTGCTAATCAAGATATTAGTGAATTGGAGTAATTCAAGTAGCGGCATGCTGCTGGCTACACCTGACTAAGTAGATGTTGCTGCCTTACCTTTCAGTCTAAATATTTATGGAACTAGACAATATTGCTTCTTTTTGTGTAATACTTCAGAGTATCTTTGTAAATAATCCTTTTAATGTGGAGTATTTGGAGCTGGACCTATGTTACCTAGAACGTGGATCGTTTCGGTACGTGGAATGGAAACGGAAACGGAAACGGGAACGGGAACGTGGTACACCACATGTTCTAAAATGTGGTACGATAGGGGTAGACTTGTATATATTATACTTAAGAATTTAAAGTACTTCTAGAGTAATTTTTTATTTTTTTTAACTATTAGATATCCAATAAAATATAATATTTTCTATGAGCATTATGACCCATTTTTTGATTCTTGTCTTGTCAAAACTTAACTCACCTTAGATTTTAATATATTATATTTGAATTTTTTCCTCCTAAGGTAACATTTGAGGACATATATTGAAAAAAAAAATTGGGATTGCTTTGGAACACTAAATTTACTATTTTGGAACGAAAGTGTATCATGTTTCGGAACGTACGTATCAATATGTAATTCGGTAGGATATTAACGTTTTCTGGTAACATAGAGCTGGACATTACCTATTCTTGCATGAATATGAAGTGAAAAATAGTTGACAACTTAGCTATACTTGCAGATAGGTCTATATGGCTAATTGAACCGTGTGAAACATCAAACTCTAGATATTTACCTTGGGCCACATGTGTAAATCCTATTTGTATTTTTTTAAGTTAGGATTCAACTATTGGCAATATACTAAGATTGAACTTGCACATATGCAAGTGGCAGGGCTTGGCCCTTTTTGTGTTTAATGATCATAGAGTATGCAAGGGCAAGGTTTCAAAAAGCTGTGTTACGTAACGGTTGCAGTGGTAAGCACTACCCGTTTCATTCGCTTTTGCGGTGTGATGGAAATTCACATGTGTAATGGCCAAGGTTTCGAAAAGCAGTTGCGGTCGCTGTAACGGTTGCGGTGGCATGATTGCGGTTGCGGGGTGTAAAGGCCGTAGTGTAACGGTTGCGGTAACCGGAACCGTGAATTTTTTAATTTTTCGCACAATTTGTAATTTTTTTACCAATATGCATATTTTTTTCTTCAAATTTTTTAATTTTTCGCACAATTTGTAATTTTTTTACCAATATGCATATTTTTTTCTTCAAAATCACGTTTATTAGGGTTTAAAATAGAATTTGATCAATTTTTGTTAGTTTTTAAGTATGATCCAATATATTTCATATTTTTAAATCACTATAATGGAATTTTTTACATTTTATTTCAATAGTTAATGACTTTAAGAATGATTGATTTTAAATGTTTATGAAATTATTTTTGACAAATACCTGAACTAACTAAATAAAAAATATTTGCAATTATTAAATGAAATGATTATAAAAAAAAAATTATGTCATAAACAAAAAAATATTTTTGAGCTAATATTTTCTTTTAAAAGACATTTTTCTAGACAACACTTTACAGCTAACTAAATAAAATTATTTACAATTAAATATTAAATCAAATGACTGTAAAAATCAGTGATTTTTTTTTTAAGATATTTTTAGACAAGACTTATAGTAACAAAATAAAAATATTTATAATTAAATATTAAATGAAATGATTATAAAAATATATACAACCATTGTTTATATATTTTTTATTTTACATGCTAATGTAATGAAATAAAAATTAAAAAATAAATTATAAAAAAAATAAATTCCATACAATGTTTTTTCTTTGAGCTTTGATCACTCGAGCATTCGTTCTTTTTTTGTAAGAATTTTTTTTTTATTTTTTTATTTTTTTATTTTTTTTTTTATTTTTTGGAAAAGAAAACTATTCAGAATATTGTAACAGTGTGTAACTGGCCTTACAGCCATTACAATACCGCTACGGCCGTTACGTAACACCGAAGCGGCCGTTACGTAACACCGAAGCGGCCGTTACACGTGAATTTCCGTCACACTGCAAAAGCGGGTGTAATGGGTAGCGCTTACCACCGCAACTGTTACATAACGGCCTTTTTGAAACCTTGGATCTAGGGCTTTGAAAATTCGAAGAATCGCAAGTTGCAATTACACCTGCGAAGACAACCCGCAAGTCGTGATGTTAGATTGAGGTTGTCCAAGCTTCAACTATAGAGTTCGCGATGTTCAACAAAGCCAAGAACTAGAGTCGCAGAGGCAAACCCATGCCCAAACTCATCAATCGTTTGCGAGAATCATACACCCAGGTGCAATCTTTGAATCAGCGACAAGAAATCGCAAAACCAGTTCGAACTGGAAGTCCAGATGTCCTACGAACTTGACTCACAAAGAGGATTCAAGAACTCCTGCAACTGCGACTTGAATCAAGGAGCTTGGTAGCAAATCGCGATGAACTCTAGAAACTTCAAATTGCAACTTCGAATTTGTGATGGGTCGTCCTTCGCAAATTCTGGGTCCGTGATGGGTGTCATGAGCCAAGTCAGATTCTCTAGGTAATGATTCCACTTGAAATTAGAGGGATAATGAAAGATTAGGATCCAAATCCCAAATGCTTTGACACCAAATAATGCAATCCAAATGCAAATCAAAGATCAAATTGAGAGAGAAGACAAATGCCCCAATTAGGGGTAAAACCCCTAACAGCTAGAGAGAGACGCCAAGCTCTACTCCAATTGCATTGTATATTCTTTAATCCAAAACTAAGTGCAATTGGTATTACATCACCTATTTATAGACTACCACTAAGCTACAACTAATAGGCCACCTAATCATACATTTTAGGTATGTATTCTACTACATGAAGTGGTGTGGGATAGGATTCTCACCATTGACAATCTTATTTGGTGTCTGCAGGTTCTAGTTAAGTGGTGTTGTATGTGTTGCAGTGATGTAGTGTTGATTTTCTCCGTGTTTGGTATGGTTTGGGTGCAGCCATTCTTCACAATTGGAGGGGGGTCTGGTTGGGAAGAGGCATAGGAAGGCATGGACGTTGGCACGTTTGTGTTTAATTTGGATGGTTTGGTTGGAGTGGAATTGCCATGTTTTTCAGGGTGTGGATGATTCGGTGGCTCGGATGAAGGCACAGTTCTGTTGATTCTGTATAGTTGGGGCACGGGGACTGTGTCTCCGGATTTGTTTGCTTTTGTGGATTTTATATATGCTCTTCGTGTTTATGTTTTGGATTTTGTTGATAATATCAGCTGAATTCTTTGGATCTTCTTGATGCTCGTTTGTTAATAATTTATTTATCCAAAAAAAAAGGTAAGTATGATAGGACTGGAACAGCTGTTATGGCAGGTGGATATTATAATGGAGTAGTGTAGCAACTTATCAACCCGTTTTTCCATGTACGAATTGCATGAATGGATTGAATTAAATGGAAAATATCAAGTGTTTTTAGATATAGGTTGTATATTAAATGTTCCTAGACATAAGGTACAGGTCTATTGTACAATATTGGTACCCTAGTTTTGTGGTTGTTGGAGGGCTGGATCCATGCTCAGACGTTCTCATTTGCTGAAAGTTCCTTTACACCGACTGTATGTTATGCATCTAGAGGGCTTGTTATCTTTTGCCTGTCAAATAAACACCCTGATGCACATTACTTTATACTGTTGACTCGTTTATTGGACAGATGGAGATGGACATATGATTTTTTATGTCATATTTGTGTAGAATCTACCTCATTAGCCTACACAGTTGGGGGTGATAATGATAATGATAATGAATTTTAGGATCAATATGAGACTTCATTTCTACATTGATGCAGGATAATTCAGATGAGGATCATTCTTCTTCTCCAGAAAAGGGCAGTGGCTTGCAAGGAGTGCCATGGAAACATTTTTCTAGAAGTGATTTTAGTGTCAAGAATGTGAATTCTTCAAGGGGACCGAAACCTGAGGAAAGTGTCCCTATCAAGCTATCAGACAACCATGAGCCAGTTCGCAAGAGCAAGCGCATCCCTAAGAGACGGTTGCTAGATGGAGCATTTGAGGACGGAGATGATGATGGGGAGCTCCGATACCTCGAAAAGCTCAAAATTTCTAAAGGTGCTACTCATTATAGTGCAAAATATGAAGATGATGTTGAATTAAGAAACAAAAAGATACGTAAGATTTCAATAGATGCTAAAAAATCCAGATCAGGAAGATCATCTGAAGATACTGATTATGTGGAAGAGGAAGATCCATTGTCTGATGGTGAGCCTGAAACAAAAAGGAAAAAACAAAGAAAAGATTTAGTTGATGTGATGAGGGATTCTACAAGGGAAATGGCAATCACTACACGCAAACGAGCTCTTCAGACTGGCAAAGACATCTCTTCCAACTCTGGTGCAAGTTCAATTGAGTTCCCAAATGGATTACCCCCTGCTCCTCCTAGAAGTGAGCATTCTTATTTTTCTTCACTCAGGCGTTGTGTAGCTTCTGTTGAGTTTTCATTACTTATTTTGCGTTTCTTTCTTTTGCAAGTTTTATCTTCTTCACACTTGTTGTGGTTTGTATTGGTGACAGAGCAAAAGGATAAACTGTCTGAAATGGAGCAGCAACTGAAGAAAGCTGAGGCAGCTCAAAGACGTAGGATACAAGTGGAGAAGGCAGCTCGGGAGTCCCAAGTATGCTCTTCTGTTTTTTTTTTTTTTTTTTTCCTCTAAATTCTATTTATTATTTATGTTCTTATTAGTTGTGAGTTGTCAAATCATGAATCATATTGTCAATCGGTTTTCTAAAATAGTGAATCTCGAATCATATCTAATCATGAATTATAAAATTCACTTTATTTAGCATAATATATAATTTTATATTCATATGTACATATAAAAATACAGTCTTTAAAACAAAATAAATATATCAATATAATTAGTATATATGTATAGACAAATAAAATCGCATTTATCTATACATTTAGTTGATCTCTTATTTTATTTGGCGAACATGGCGTCGTTTAATGCATTATGCAAACAGAACTGAATTGCTTAAATCGCATTAAAAAATAATGAATTGCAATGAATCGTAAGATTTACTTAATTTAAGATTCAACTGCATGAATCAAATTGTTTTGCTTGGTACTCGTATTGAATTGTATAGCCAGATTGTAAATAATATGCGTAGAGTGAGGTTTGTAACCAGTCTGTACCCCTCCCAGCAATGATATTGCCTTGACCAGTACTGGTTACTATATTCTTGCCTTCCATTTTTGTTCACTTCAACAATAATTGAAAGTTAAAATTTTATTTATTTTGAATATTAAAGGCTGAAGCAATTAGAAAAATTCTGGGCCAAGATTCTAGTAGGAAGAAGCGGGAAGATAAAATGAAGAAGAGGCAAGAAGATTTAGCACAGGTAAGAAGTTGTTCATAAAGAGCCCGTTATCTGTATCTTGTATTTTTCTCCCTTTTTATTTGGGTTAATTTGTATAATTTGATGCAGGAGAGGGCTGCCAGTGCTTTGACACTCGCATCAAACACTGTTAGATGGGTCATGGGTCCCACTGGTACAGTTGTGATATTCCCCAATGAGATGGGTCTGCCAACTATATTTGAGCCCAAGGCTTGTAGGTAGGAATCCACTTCCTTCTGCAGATTCATGTTTGTTGCTAACTTAATTTAATTTTACGGAATTATGAAATCATGATAGCTCAGCTTAAGGACAAAAAGAAAAGAATTAGAGGTATCTGTACTTTTATGGATACGGAAGACAAAAAAAGGCATGAAGATATTGAAATAGAAGAGTAAAAAGACCTGCAAATAAAATGAAGAGGACTTTTTGAGGCATGGAGAAGTCCACTCAATGACATAAAAACACCAAATAGCATAGAAAGAGAGTATTAAATAAAGGTGATAAACTAAGAAACCTAAAATTGTTATTACATATGCATATATATATATATATATATAGAGAGAGAGAGAGAGAGAGAGAGAGTCTTTTTATACATTCAGAAAAAGTTGAAGTAGTTGCTCAGAAAATGTATTATCAAGTGCTAAATATTATTCAAGTATCAGAGTTTTAAATATGTTCAAAAAATAAAACTACCTAGACAAATTATGAACAAAAAGTTAAAATTTTAAATTTGTTATTTGAAAATATTCTGGGTTTTTCAATGAGAGGAATTGTTATTTCCTATTTTAGTTCTGCACATTATTGTAGTAGTAAAAAAATTTGAAGTTAGAGAACTAGAAAATAAGTTGGCTAGACTCCAAGATAGAGAAAGGGAGAGAAAAGGTGAGCCATAGTACACATAAAAATACCAAATTAATACATATGTCCAAAGAAGGCTACATGTGTAAAGTAATATGTAAACTTTATGAGGGTAACTTCATAAATTTCTTGTTTTGTAACTTTCTAACTTTTAAATTTATAAATTCTAAAGATATAGATTATCTTGTATTGTAAATATCATATTTCTGCGAGGATAATAAAATTGTAATTTGAACATCACAACACTGACCTGCTTGGTCAGAAGGTCAGTGGAAAAACCCATGCATGTGTCACTCTTCCACCGCCTTAACTCCGTTAGAGCAGTGGAAAAAAATGATGATTGAAATAGAATCATCTTGTTTTTGTTGAAATAGAATCATTTAATGATTCTTGAAGTTTGTTTTCAGTGCAACCTTTCTTTTTCTCCTGATGATTTGAGTTTTTATGTGAAAATATTCAGCTACCCTCCTCCACGTGAGAGATGTGCTGGTCCATCTTGTACAAATCCATACAAGTACCGGGATTCTAAGTCCAAACTTCCCCTCTGCAGCCTCCAATGCTACAAGGCAATACACCAAAAGTTGCAGGCTGTCACTTCATGTTAATCATGTGGACTCACGGACTTGCACTTACAGCTGTTCTAGTCTCGATATTATCGGTGGCCGTTGGCTATTGTCAAAGTGAAGGCACGTCTTTTGCTAAAGCAACAAGTGGTTTGACCATTTGTACAGTACAACTGATTGAAGAACTGATTGCGTTGGCAAAATACTCTTTATCACTTTGGCAATCGCTGCCTATTTTTGCGTGTGTCAAATCTCATGCAATAGGATGGTTGAACTGTTTTATGTTTGTCTCACACTGAGATTTGTGGGAGAGTAGTAGTGGTTCAATGAAATACCCAGCTTGAGTATTTGTAAATAAAATGCATATTGTTTACTTAGTCCGGTAGTTTACTAATCATTTGTGCATTTTATGAGACTGGTTTTGTTGAATGAAGCAGGACTTTGGATACCATATTGAATGAAGTAGTGTCTGGAGTGGTAGTAGATAGATCGTTTTACTTGCAATGTTTTATTTTTTTCATTTTTGCGGAGGGACTAGTACTCCCGTTACTCAAACCTTTGCCATAGCCAGGTGAGATGAGAGTACAAGTTCATTAGCAAGGTTCGAGAAGAGAGGAACTACTTTTTAACTTTTTGTGTGTTTTGCAGGTGAGAGATTAAATTGCTTTTTCTGATGTATTGGTGATGCATTCATCAGTATCTTGAGACTTCCGAATGCCTAACCTTGTCCAGAAATGATACTGATCTGCTATTTGAACTCATTTAGTTGGTTTTGGCAGAAAATAAAATGGTATGGGAAATAATGTATGGTGGTTACTGGTGGGCGTTAGATACCCGTGAACTGGATTTGTAGATTTAGGGAAGCTTCTTACAGGAGTTTAATGATGGTGGTTTTCAGGCTGGTTTTGGGACACAACTCTTTGTATCGGTAATTATTGGTCACTCATGGACTGCCATGTGACATTTTTTGTAGGGTGGTCCAAACTAATGACATGGAAGGTATATGGTGACTCACTTTTGTTAGGTAGTTGAGAGACAAGGGATGACTTTTAGTATGAATTACGATTTTTTATTTGTTGGGATGAGAAAAAGAAAAGAAATTGAGAAAATATTTCTCATCATTTGTGTGGATGATTAATGATATGAGTAATGGTGAGAGACAAATCACACCAAACTTAAGTTTTGTTTTTTTTCAGTAGTGGTGAAATTTTGTAGGAAATTAAAAGGGTGATTCTACTTATACAATTACTTCATCTCTTTACATCCTTCATATGAGTTTTTTTGTTTTTTTTCAATTTTATTCATGTGTGACATTACCTTTTAAGGACAAAACACTAAAATTAAATATATTTTGTTATCTTCTTACACACCTTGGTTTTCAATTCCTACTCTTCTTTTTCTCTTCTCTTATACATCTCTTTTCAAAAAGTAAGAATCATAGTATTTTGATCATTAAAGAAAGCAATAGATTAAAAAACAATGGTAAAGAACCATAAAAAAAAAGTGAAATGGTGAGTTTTTTTATTTATTTGGTAAGTTTTTGTTTCGTTTTTCTGGACTGATGTTCGGCTTTTGTTCGGTGCTTCGAAGTTGAACAAAATAAAATAGTTCGGCATCACATTACGGAACAAAAAATATAAGTCTGGTAACTAACAACTGAATAAAAGATACATTTCCTGTAACTCCAAATTAAATTTTTTAAATTTGTTTGGCTTCTCATTACCATGTACCATGTGTCTTCAGTTTCATTTATACATATATATATATATTTTTTTTTTTTTGCCTGGAAGGATTATACTTGTACTTATTGCAACAACGCAAGTACTGCAATATTAGTGGACTATAGTCATGAATTCATTACAGACGAGATTTGTTAAGTTTGTTTTTTTTTTATTTTTTTATTTTTTTATTTTTATTTTTTTATGAATACGATTTTTTTTTCTTATTTTTAATTTGTATTAAGGTTTATTAATAATTTAACGTATAAATGTATTTATTATCTTTAGATTTTTCATAGTTGTGAAGCATTAATTAAATGGGCTTCTGACGTTGGGAAGAAGATTGAATTTGTCATTGTTATAAAGACATCAAATGCGGGAGACAATGGCAGAAAATCAAGACTTAGATTTGCTTGTAAAAGAAGTGGTTACTATAGAGACAACAAAAAGATCAAGGGGGAATGATTAAGGTTGACAGGTTCTAAAAAGTGTGGATGTCTATTTCTATTAAGGGGGGAAAAATTACCTACAAATTACCAAGATGAATTGTGATAACATGTTTGATTGATGGATGCAAACAATGACATATTTTATGGATACTTTATGGATATTCGTATATTTGTTGTTTTTATGAATAATTTTATCGATACTTTTTATGTATGACTTTATGAATGCATGTTTAATTTATGAATTTTTTTTATGGATGCTTCAGGGAAAAAGTAAATCTTTTAATGTACAGCGACGGGGGCCTAGACAACTTTATTATAGTTTGGCAACATGACATTAGAGTAATCCCATTTGTATAACAATGTATCACTAATCATGCACTTCACAAGTGGCCCAAATTAATTTCTTGTTATCATCTAATTGGACGGCAACATAATGCTGGGAAAAAAAATATTGTCTGGTAACATGGCACTGGAGTAATTCAAATTAATTAGCGTTGTATTACCGAACAGACCCACCACAAATTAAAAAATCATTATTTGGAAGAAAGTGTCTTTGTAAATGTATATCAACAAAATACTGGAGAGATCTATTTTTTCCGATAACATAACATCGGAATAATGTAAATTGTTTAGTATCGTGTTACCAAAATTAGTGGCGTAAAGAGATGAAATAGTTAATTTATGGTTAGTTTTGATAATATATTGGGGGGTGTAATGAGAATTACATTTTTTTTAGTGGTGTAATGAGATGGAGGGTGTAAAGAGGTTAAATAGTGGTGTAAGTAGAATCACCCAAATTAAAATTACTCTTTAAAATATATGTCACGACCCAAATTCGCCCCTATAGGTTTAGCGTCGTAACTGGCTAGTAATCTGTGATTACCGAAGGCCTGTTTAACAATAATGACAATATTACACTATAAAGGGGCTGGCGGAAACCAATCAATATTAATATACATCGTCCAATGACCTATGAGAATTTGAATGGAAATAAATTTTTATGCACATAGCCATATTCATAACCACTTATACCAAAAATCTAGGTCATTCTATTTGCACACCACGCATTTTCTTACTATCCACCATTTTTCAATTTTTTTTAATTGCCATTTTGTCCCTCAACAAAATTACCAAAGAGGACTTGAATACAATAGTCAACAACATCTACCAATTCACAACTCCTCTTCATCACCTCTTCCACCTACCCTTCTCATTCCCCTTCACAACCCCCAACTCCTACAGGGTGAGAAAAAGAGAGAGAGAGAGAGAGAGAGAGAGAGAGAGAGAGAGATCACAGGGTAGCGCTACTGCAGCCTGACGATAACGACCCATCCTTACCCATTTGCAGCGCCGCCGCCGATGAGGTCGTGATTGAGAGAGACAAAGATCGCAGATTGTTTCCGCCAGCCCCTATTAATATTGATTGGTTTCCGCCAGTCCCTGTAGGTTTAGCGTCATAACTGGCTAGTAATCTGTGATTACCGAAGGCCTGTTTAACAATAATGACAATATTACACTATAAAGGGGCTGGCGGAAGCCAATCAATATTAATATACATCGTCCAATGAGCTATGAGGATTTGAATGGAAATAAATTTTTATGCACATAGCCATATTCATAACCACTTATACCAAAAATCCGGGTCATTCTATTTGCACACCACGCATTTTCTCACTATCCATCATTTTTCAATTTTTTTTTTAATTGCCATTTTATCCCTCAACAAAATTACCAAAGAGGACTTGAATACAATAGTCAACAACATCTACCAATTCACAACTCCTCTTCATCACCTCTTTCACCTATCCTTCTTATTTCCCTTCGCAACCCCCAACTACAACAGGGTGAGAAAAAGAGAGAGAGAGAGAGAAATCACAGGGCAGCGCTACTGCAGCCTGACGACAACGACCCATCCTTACCCATTTGCAGCGCCGCCGCCGACGAGGTCGTGATTGAGAGAGACAAAGATCGTAGATTGTGATCACGGTTGTAAGAGAGAAGCAATGGTAATAATTGACGAGAATAATGGTTGCGGTAATGGTGACAGCGACGGTGACTAAGGTTTGTGGTTGGGGAAGATGAGGGTTTTTTATTAATTGATAGGCAAGGGAGGGGTGGTGAGGGTCTTCGAAGAAGAAAAGAGAGAGAGAGAGAGAGAGAGAGAGAGAGAGAGAGAGAAATCACAGGGCAGCGCTACTGCAGCCTAACGACAACGACCCATCCTTACCCATTTGCAGCGCCGCCGCCGACGAGGTCGTGATTGAGAGAGAAAAAGATCGCAGATTGTGATCACGGTTATAAGAGAGAAGCAAAGGTAATAATTGACGAGGATAATGGTTGCGGTAATGGTGACAGCGTCGGTGACTAAGGTTTGTGATTGGGGAAAATGAGGGTTTTGTATTAATTGATAGGCAAGGGAGGGGTGGTGAGGGTCTCCGAATAAGAAGAATGAGGAAGAGGATGAGGAAACTGGGAAGGGGACGACGATGGGAGGGATGGTAGCCGTCGGTGGTAGACGATCGGAGGAGGAAAAAGTTGGGTAAGGGGGTGGACGACAGTTGCAGTGGAGCTAGTTAGGGTTAGGATTTGCTAGAGAAGATAAGAATAATTTGGTATTATTTGAAAATTAGTGGGGTGTGTTGAGACAAAATCAAAATATTCATGTTGTGTGATGTGTGAACTAAACAAATGGTGTGTAATGAGGCAATCAGTGGTGTGTAAATAGAATCTCCCCAAAAATCTATATAACAAGGAAGCTAAGATTTTGAATCTGGATGGGACTTTTGTCCCTTTGTCCAAATTTTGACCATCAGATTGATTTAATCTAAGTGCTAAAAACATCTCACTTTTATCTCTTTCAACACACACCCTCTCTCTCTCACACATATTCCTCTGGAGATTCTATTTACACACCACTGATTGCCTCATTACACACCATTTGCTTAGTTCACACACCGCACAACATGAATATTTTGATTTTGTCTCAACACACCCCACTAATTTTCAAATAATACCAAATTATCCTTATCTTCTTTAGCAAATCCTAACCCTAACTACCTCCACTGCAACTGTCGTCCACCCCCTTACCCAACTCTTTCCTCCTCCGATCGTCCACCACCGGCGGCTACCATCTCTTCCATCGTCGTCCCCCTCCCCAGTTTCCTCATCCTCTTCCTCATTCTTCTTCTTCGGAGACCCTCACCACCCTTCCCTTGCCTATCAATTAATACAAAACCCTCATCTTCCCCAACCAAAAACCTTAGCCACCGTCGCTGTCACCATTA